ACACACACACACAAATCAGAGTTTTTGGTACCACAACTTTTTAAAAGCCAAACGGGCAGCGGACATGTTTACTAAATGGTGAGGAAAACTAAAACAGGAAGGAAGAGCTTCAAGACCAGTGACCAGGAGGTGGCTGTGCGAGGAGGCTCAGGGTCTAAATGCCGAGGCGGGCAGAGGGGCGGGCAGAGGGGCGGGCTGCCCCCGGGTGCCCAAGGGTCGTCCCTTCCTCCACAGCAGCCCCAGACAGCCTCACGCAGCTGCCACACACGGGGCTCTGCCACAGTCGGTGACTTCCAACTCTTCACAACACTAAGGCTGGAATCAAAACCTTTCTCTTCCCCACAGGCAAAAACCTGGGCATTCACCACTTACCGATGATGAATTATGTGTTAAACTATCCATGAGATGCATTTAGACAACAAAGCTCTTTCAAGAAGTTCAACATAACAATATCTTGAACTCAGCAGGTTAGGTGATGTCCACTCTTGTTCCTTATGCTTTGCACCTACGATTATGACTGTTAATCTTGTGACTATTTTGCATATGCTCAATTTTTAACAAAGTCATTTAAGAAGCTGACATATTATCCATTCCTCCCCCAAGGAGGGCCCAGGCTCTTTAGAGACGGCCGCCTCCAGGGCAGGCAGGACCCACATCTCCTGGAAGTACCGGACTGTGCCAGGAAGCAGGGAACTCCGGGAACTCGGGGCATAACCCAGGACGCAGGTGCCGCCTGAAGAGGCTCCAACATCAAGGGGGCCAAGTGAGTCCCACACTAGACAGGAAAGCAGTATGATGCCGCAAATGAACAAGACCTCGCTAAAGCCACACGGGCGTTTTCACAGACATGCCTATCTACAGTAGCAGTCACAGCAGCGCACACGGGGGAGGTACGGTGCGGCCGCGAGGGAAGCCACCTCCTCCTTGCTGACCGGGTGAAGCGGGTACTGCTGGCATCAGCTGACCCAGCGACTCCTCCCAGGCAGGAGTCAGGGGGACGCAAGCCTCTGTGGGGCAACCGCTAGGGCTGTGGCCAGCTGACATGGGCAGACATCAGCCTGGGGGACGCAGCAGGGGCACAGGCACCCACTGCCTTGGCAGAGCATGAGGACACACACCCCTTGAAGCAAGGCCGGTGGGATAGGCAGAGCAGGGCCCCCTGTCGGTGGCGGCAAGCCGGGGCCTGGGCTCTGGCCACTCCCCTCTCCTGCAGCAGTGACTTTCTGGACCCAAGCACAGAACCTCGGCAGCCCTGATCAACACCACTGTGTTTGGCCCTTCAAGCCTGTTCAAAGAGTCCTGAATCCTGATGCCATCCACACTATTACTGGCCCTCCTAGCGAGGTCTGACACACAGGTGCTGTCCCTGCTGTGCCCAGGTGGCAGACAACACTGCTGTCCAGTAAGTCAAATGAGAGCCCAACAGCAGCCACCGGCCCAGGGCCGGGAAGGCAGCCCGCAGACTCCCGCCGGGTCACTCGCACTGTCAAAGCTGCTGGAGCACTGCTGTGCTCGACCGCCCAGCCTGTGTGTTACTCGGGGTTGACATGAACTCACCTGCCTAGAGGTTCTTACATCCGCCTGCTCTACAAACTGTAAAGTACCTGCCCAGTTCCAGGACTCGGCTCTTCTTTTCGGCCATCCTCTTTTTTTTTTTTTTTTTGCGACGGAGTTTCACTCTTGTTACCCAGGCTGGAGTGCAATGGCGCGACCTCGGCTCAGCGCAGCCTCCGCCTCCTGGGTTCAGGCAATTCTCCTGCCTCAGCCTCCTGAGTAGCTGGGATTACAGGCACATGCCACCATGCTCAGCTGATTTTTTTGTATTTTTAGTAGAGACG